CAAACTCGGTGAGTCCACAAGCTTGTTGTGACTCGTTGTTAAACGATTTTACTGAATTGGTTTCCTTTGAATTTTTCACACTTCCATGATTTTCGCACTGATCACCCTACGGGATTTGTCAAGCTTTAGCTTTTATACCCGCATAAATCCATTGTTCCATTGTTCCATTGATATGAAGTTTACATTGGGTATGGCCAACGTACAGAGAGACGTTGCAGAGAACATTCGTGGTAGCGCCGACCACATGATACTCTTAACCTTCACCGTTAAAATGGCCATCAAACAACTAACTCCTTTCTACTACATCGTCCGCAGTAGTAACTGGAAACCATTCCGTCAAATAATCCGGTTCTGCGATTGGGATGCCTTCTTTCTCTCCAACCATGCATGCACAGCCGTGGAGCGCCTCTATCATTGGTTTCAGCAAACCATAACCTCGTTGCTGCAAAAGAAAAACGAATCAGTGACATTTATAAGATGCCGCGGAACGTTCGATGAGTCAGAAATCCATCAAATGGATCGCGCGCCGAAAAAGGATAGACTGTTTTACAATTATTCCACAGATGCACCGACCCATCTCTGAAAGCAAGCACTTACACTTGCTGGGGAGAACACATGTAGATCAAGCAACCCTACGAATGACATGCAAAGTAAAAGCGCTGGTCAAGTTTCTCCGTCGAATAACCAATAAACGCTTTTCATTGATCACTGAACTGGTGGACGACATCCAGGTGCTTTTAGCTCTTTCTTCTCCACATATATAACCTTATTCCAAACCCTTAGCTGGATGACCAGGAGGATGAGTTTGTCTGGCCTCCACCCACTGACCAATCTGGTATGTGTGGCTCTGAAGGTGCAAATAAGCACCACCCAGCATCGCACAATTGATCACTGAAGCACGCAAGCCATCACATTACGGTAAGGATAAGCGTTGTTGCACTAGGTGGAAAAGCTAAGGCCGTCTTTCTGGGCGCTTTCCCTCGTAACAGCTGACTATGTGCAGTTCTGCTGCAGGTTCCATGTAGAATTAGCAAGCGATGCGAGGCGAGACGCAACTATTTTGCAATCTCAACGTACGTCCCAAGGGACTGTAGTAGTGGCTTGATCAAGGACGGATTTTATCGAGATCATCATCGGCTCTTGAGCAATGTTAACGACCCGAGGGTCCTTGTTGCTTAGGACTTCAAGGTACGGGCTAGTATACTGTTATTATACATGTTAGCTGTCATCTTTCACTTGATGCGGAACGCTCTTAAAATGAGGAGAGACATCTCACATTGCGCTAAGACAGTCATCTGTTTCGCTCGAGCCGCAACTTCAGGCATAAGAAAAAGTTCCCAAGACTTGGCGTCCCCTTACACCAACACAAGCGTTGTCTCCAATTGATCAGCTTGTAATCCGCTTCAGATTTTCGAACTTGTCTGGGATTTGAAATGAGTTTGCTCCGCCTCCTCAGATTATGCGCTAGTTTGTGCTAAATTTGCATGTGCTTTTGGGTCTCCAAAGACAAACAATCGCAAGATTGATGCGATCAGATTAACTGACTTCTCTGTCCAGGCAAGCTATTAGTCTTCATTGACAGAAGCACCTAGTTGCAATCCATCGCAAGACATTGAGCAACAATATGCTGTTATACATAAAGTAATGATCACTTCCGGATTCTCAAGCTGTGGTCTAGCTCGACGCCCCTTAAAGGCTTTGATTTCTGCTGGAGCTCTGGAGCAGTTCGACCACCGTAGTGATATCAAAGCAGAATCAAAGTACAGTGCAGCCATGCTGCTCTGCCAACCGGTAGCTCTTGCAAAGCCTGCGCAAGGATCGCGCGGCTTGCTGGTCTGAAGGTGCTTCGGATATGGAGAGTGCTGCCCTCTGTGGTAACACTCGAAAGCTATGCCAAATCACCAAGTCCATTGGTGTCAGCACGCCTGGTGTCAGTGAGGTTATCTGCAAGGCAAATACGTCTATGCTCACTAACGATTGGATGCGTCTTGACCGAGGGGTCAAGCACTTTCGTTCGTAGTTCAGCTGGCCTCCACCATCTATCCGAGCGCGCCGTACAGTCAGTTGCCCACGTTGGTTTGTCCCACTGGATCCATTGAGCGGAGCGGAAGTCTGCCTCGAGATACGATATTTGCAGCGCTTTAAATCCCGGGCTCAGGCGGACTTCCTCCGGTACTGTTTAGGCAGGATGACATGGAAACCATTGACCATCTGACCTCCTTGTTTGCAAACATCTGGCATGAAGATAAAGGGCCTACTTCATGGGTCGAAGTAGTTATTATCCGATTTTATAAAAAACGAATTTTCAAAACGAAGTTTGGAGTCGAAGCTTCGCCACACTTTGAACTCTATGGTTCGCGGTACATGCGGAATCGCAGGCAGATCCATTATCATAGGAGTTAGTCAGCTGACATCGGTGATGTTTTACAAATGAACAGTTGACGGGTGATGGCGTCGCGTGAATGCAAGAAGCAGAAATTGTAGCTCCTGTGATCAGTCCATGGGTTTTCTTCGTAGAGCGTGATACTAGCCGGTTGCCCAAAGCAAAATAGAGCGTTTACTTAGGGGACACCGCCCCGAGACTTTGGCCACAGTTTACCAGAAAGGCAGCAAGGCGAGTCCAAAGGAATCGTGTCTATTGGGAGCCGGTGGCTGATTATTTCATACGCCTTTCCTTCATTCAATTAAAAAATGTGGGTCAATCACGCACACGATTTCGGCAACAGGGTGCTAAAATTGTAATGCCCTACCGAAATGAAGCAAGGAGCAGTGATATTATTTAGTGTTGAGTCACCTCCGTCACGTCGCAGTATTGTTAAAAGGACGCATGCGGCATTTTATAAGGTGAACTCTTGTCAGGCGAAAATCTAAGACGTCCTGGAATACCGCCACTGAAACATTTACTGGAACGTTATGATGACTTTATAAGGTATAAGAAACGATAACTTACTATCTCTATTTGGTGATGTGGTGGGGTAACAAGAAAGTCTAGAAAATAGCAGCTAGTACTTTGCTGTTAAAAGAAAGGACCTGTCGTTTTTAACGCGGCAACCGTAGAGTCTGCGTGGTCTCGCAGCTCTACTATGCGACTAACACCAAATTGACGGTATTTTCTAGCATCTGGACAAAGGGATAGTGCTAACTAGCAAAGTGTAAATGGCTGAGTGCGTCATCCAACTGAGATTTAAATATTGCTAGTGTAGGCGCAGGGACGATTGATTCCGGGAGTGCGTTCTCCACGTAACAGTCTGAAATAGAAAAGCATTTTGTCGGCCATCCAGGGAAGCATTCTGTGCTGCTAGCTTCGATGGGTGACATCCCAAATTTGTGTTGCTGCTGAGTTGCAGTAAAGAGCGGTACACATGTTTTGCACTGTGCGAAATAAAGCATGTCATTATCAAGTCGCCTTGTAATCTGCTGAATACTTCCAAAAGTTTCAGCCTTTGCTCGAACGCTAGACGGTGCACAACAACTACGTATTTGGAAGGCAGACGCTGAAGCTGCTTCAGTGTAACAACTCATGTTTCAACCATGGCTACCAAGCTTGAATTAAGTGCACATTTATGACCTGGCCGTAGATGCTGTTATGATTTCCTCGCATTCTCCCAACAAACCGCTGCGCACGGGGTGATTTCTGTTTGTAGACGGCAATTACATCGGCGTCTGCCAGAAGATAGCCAAACGCAGCTGATTTTGCAAATCGTGGATTTGAAGTGTTCGGCTTTGATTTGTCGTCCAAAGTACAAGTTGCACATTAGTCCAACTCACTTCCTTGCCCAGTACTAACGAAACGGATAGAGACATTTCCGGTCTCTACCAGCTGTCAACACTGTAGCCCATGATCACTAGCCTACCATTCTCGATATTTTTAGGGAGACGTTGCTGCAGCTATAAGTGGAATTCTCCCCATACTCATTGGAGACTAACGTCCTGCTCACCGCTAGGTACAAGGGTTGGAGGTTTGGTAGATTGCCTGTTGTAAAATGCGGTGTTGGCCGTTGAAGAACAACATGCTCGTGATGATTAGAATGACAGATTTTAACTAAAAGATATCACAGTCCCAGTACACACTTGGACTCCGGAATCCTACGATGAACAACCTTAGTATACGAGTCTGCTGCTTGGCCTCCTGACTGCGGTGCTGTGGGGTGGCAGCATAAACCAGCGAGCAACGCTTTCGCGGCGGAACGGTTCGGCTATTTGCGATACCAACCAAAGGTAATGCATTTTTGTGTAGATAGTGAAACCGCTACAGCCGAGGGAGTAACATTTCACCGAATACAAATGTGATTTGGTGGACGTTTCATCCACTCATTTGAACACGCAAACGTTTGACAGATGTGAGGCCCTGGTCTGGGCTGATATGCGTCATTCCGATAGTAAGCACCGAAACAGAAACTGTCTCTTTTACTTATTCAATGTGTGATACATTTCTGCGAAAGTCGGGCTATAGTTATGAAGTTATAGACGGTTCTGCAGATAACTGAGCGTAGCTGACGACAGCGTAATACTAATTGAGAAAGATACCTTTGGCCTCAAACCATGAGTTCTTTTCTGCGAGACTCTTTTCACTAAGGTGTACAAAGCAAATTTGGATGCTGGAACGATGCTGACCTCCAGATTCCGATCCACCATAGATTCTCACAACTATACATCGTAGAGAGGTGCTTTATGGGATTGCACGCGCGCTACCCAAAGCTATAATATGCAAGTAAAACAACTCACGTCTACGAAAATTCTCTTCGCAGGGTAGTGGCTGGACAGTGGCATAAAGCACCAAGTTTTACACCGGACATCACTTTCAAGCTTGTATATTTAGACACATTTAACACTTGGGCTGTTCATTTTAACAGTATTCATCCCTTACCAGAATTGCAAGCATACTGATTTACCTTGGTATCGGTTTATATAAGTAATTGGAAGACGACGGACAAGGCAGCACACTTGTCGGTAGCTTAGCCTGACTGGTAAGCGACCTAATCATACAATCATTCACTCACCTCGTGAACAGTAGGCGCAAGTACGCCCCGCTGGCAGAATTCTGCACCATCTTTCATTCCAACAGCAGAAGACTCCGATGCGTTGATTCCACGTTGCTGACCAGTTTCAGTGGCACTGCTCCATTCTTTTGCGAAAAAATCGCGCGCTATCTGTTCGCTTAGTGTGTCCACCTTGCTCAGCTCCTCCCATGTCAGCTGTTCGAGGTCAAAATTGAGAACATTGTGACATATTAGCCCGTGTGACAAACTAAATGACAACTGAACTTACATGCATTCGCAAACATTCGAAGACTGGATCTATGTCGTGAGTTGGTTGTGTGTGTACTTGTAGACACTTGCCTTAAAAGCTGGCATGTTCTTGTTCGTACACAATGTTGACGCAACCCACAGGATCATAGCATGTGAGGTTTCATAGCCATTTCAGGACAACTGTCTGAATGGTGGAGTGAACTCACAGCTACCGACGCTTTGGGTTCATTCACGAGAAGGTGGACTCGAGGAAGTAAAATTCTCTCATCTACTTTCACTTATGAGGGCAAAGAAGTGCGCATGTCAAGCAATGCAAACCAAGTGCCAGGCATGATGTACGGCCGAACGAACATCACATTGGGATCAAAAGTTTAGTGAACAAGAAGTTCTAGGGAAACGTTTGATCCGATCAAGAAAATCGGATTTGTTGCTGTTGAACGTTAGTAAGACTGTACTTTGAGAGCTGCTCCATACTTCGTTACATTTTAGGAAGCATGGAGCGCAATGTTTGGCACAAAGAACACTGAAAACGCCTCCACTTCAGATGCGGTCGGAACGACCTGTGTGATCGAATGTTATTTCTTGATAAGTCACTGTCTCATCGTAGTGTGTGCTGAAATCCAAACGCACAACGGTAATTCAACACCACACAGGAGCAGTGTATTAGTTAGCAGATCTTTAAGGGGTCTAAGAACTGATCTATCAACTAGTTAAACCAAAAGCTTGCTGAAGTGCTGCGTAATGTATTGTGTACTCGCCCCAAGCCTCGACGAACTGGGCACTAATCTGTAATCATCCAGCCTTCGAATATGATATGACATGAGAGAAGAATAGTCATCCAGTGTCGAGGCAAGTCATACAAGCCACGTAGGTCCCCGATTCGTCTCCAAGAAGTCAATAAGCACGTCAAAGGAATCTGCATAAGAAGTAGCGCGCCAACACCCCGTTCAATTTTGAAATCCCTCAATCGCATATTCATCCATCAGATCCTACGCTAGGCAATTAACTTTGACTCGGAATACGAAGAGCAGTTCTCCGTATCACTGGTACTTTGCGCCTGTGACTTGGGTGTTTCATGTTTCATTTCATTGCGTGTGTTTAACTAGCGTAAGAAGGCTACAACACGTAAACTGTGCCTCGTGCTTCAGTTTCCGTTTCTGTATAGGTTGCACGTTTAGCCTATTGCTCGCGGTTAGTCGGGAAAAGCCTTGAGCTGTGACCAGACTCCAGGAATATAGAGCTGCGGAATGGCTCAGTGCGTTGAGAACGCTCCCCTTATGGTTCTCCTTAACTCTCCTTCCCATCGATCTATCTTGGTGTTCACGCATTTGGGTTACAACCATGCCTTGTCTTGTACCGATCATAGTGCGCTCAGTTACATTTTCCTGTGTTTTCAAGACTGCATAGCCTCTCACATATCGTTAACGAAATGTCAGAGACTCATGTATTTGAAAAGTGGCGCGTTGGATAGAATCTAGGTAGGTGTGGGCGAATGTCCAGAGTATTCTAACTCGTACGTACCGGTACCTGAACCGTTTGAAAATATCAAACGAGAGCGCAACCTCTGGATCAGGCATGCAAGTCACGAGGGAATGCATGTCAATGAGTAGCGCGATGTAATGATAAAACCGTGGTTGCAGTGGTGAACAATCACACCACAGAACCTCTTTCCCAATCTGAAGCGGCGCCGCTGATTTAGTGGGCGGCTGGTTCGAGTATTAACAGAATAGTGCGACTGGTTCTTGGAGTTCCCGTAAGACGGTAGCAAGACGGTTCTATAAGATGGACGGCATCTATAACGTGGCTGAATCGGACTAAGCTGGTTTCTTTACAACTGCCGGAGGCTTTCAAAACAAAATGATGGTGATGACAATGTGCAAACTTACCATCTCATTGGTTTGGGGTTCTGATGATGGACGTCCATTCCATTTGTACGCTTCATCCATCAGTTCGGAGACATAACGTTTATGTGCACTCGGGCGGGAAGCAAGCGGTGTCAGTGATCGCGTTCGGTCCGTTGGCGTGTCAGCTTCTAATCTCAATTTGTCTCTGGTGACAACCGAACTTTCTCGCTGTGCGTGCTATCGGTGGACAAAGTAAGGTAAAAGATGAAGCCGTCAAAACTATATCCCTGTAAGTATGGGAAAGTATCTACTTCCTTGAACGCTGCATATCCAGCCTGATGGGAGAATTCACTGCTGGCTCATTTCGTTGCTACTAGTGATAAACCAAGTTTCTAGATGTCATAAAACCACATAATGCTGGTATTGTTGCTCAGGTTAATGTATTTGTAGTATAAAATACCTAACACGACTGTACAACATAGCCGATAGACCAAGAAATACCCGAAATTGCCTCACGAAATGTCCTCTACCTGTCTCATTCACTTGTCCAAGTCATCAGTCTGAAACTATATATGGAGTTGGCTCACACTGGTTGGGTGAATTGCATGATGTTGGCTAATAATCGACCTGGTTGACTGCACTTAGGCCATCAACATCTGAGTACAGTCACTAGACGAATATGAACTACCTTCCTCAGCCCGAATCAGTTGAACACCTGCAATTGTAATCCCAATTACCAAGTATACCATACTGGCAACGGAGATGAAGCCATTTAGAATTTCAAGACCCAGGGTTGAATTGTTTGGAGAACCTAGTTTTTCTTTACCTCAAACTTTGACTGGATGTGGAGAGCTACCATCCATAATAAGCCTCACTGAACAGTTTAATATAGAGTTCTTCCGTGTTGGCTATACACGATGAGATTTCACGAATCTTGGTATCTAGTGGCATGGGTATCTTGTTGAAGTTTTGGCCACGCAGATAAATGCTAATGTAAGAACAGGAAATTAATAAGTTGGAGAGTTTTGAATCTGCTCTCTCCTAATACTGCACTCCACGACCGACCGCTTTCGTCCTGCTTTCGATTTGTCAGTTAGACGTAGCCTGAACGGAGAGTAGAACCCGACACACAGTGGTTGACGGCCTACGCCTGGGTCATTAGGCCAGGACTCCGCGAGCAGCTGTCGACACAACGGTTAGAAGTTCATAGTTGGGCCTTGGAGTACACGCCCTGTGTCCGGATTGCAACATGTATTCTCGAATGAGGCTCCGGTTTGCTTTGAAGTAAACCTCTACCGTTTCGATCACCGGGATTGCATCCGAAATGAAGAGTTTCGGAGCTACTCTTTCTCAACACTGCGTTTTACAACCGACTCGTTGGTTCATAATTTGGACTGAGCAGGTAGAGATAGTCTGAGCTGTGGGTGGAACATGATAAACCGCTGTATTTGCCACACATGATAATCACTCCTAAAACCTGTTTATCGCTGCCACTGAATAAGTTGTGTATAAAGACCGTGACAAAAATCCGCTGGCCGAGTTGGACCACATCACATACAACATATGTATCATATGCGTATGATACCGAGCAGGCAATTCAATTTGCATAATACCACATGTGAACCATTCAGACGGACAAAAGTTTGCTTAGAAAATTCACTGTTTTCGGATTCGCTGTTTATATTAACGATAGTTTTCCTTCTGAAAACCCTCAGTCAACATCTTGTGGGATGTGTTAAGTTTAGGCTTTTTACTCGCAATACACCATTGATCACTGACCACATCCGGTGATGTTGGCGACCGGTCGGTTGGGGTACTCACCACCGGAGCTACATGGGTACGCACAAGAGTCCACACACAAGTTCACATACAAGAAACTCTGCAGTAGCCATCGTCAGGATCCTACTAAGTGCTCGTTTTTACTAATTTGCGAACCATCTCATGATCTCGATTTCTGCAGATAACCCAGAAAAGCAACAAAAATCTAAGCTCTATTACTGAATTAGGCCCGAGTTAGTATTACAATTCAAATGTTAGCTGTAACCAACAGATGGAACAGTCAGCTGGTGTTCACTTGCGCTAACCATCAGCAGGAGGTAACCAACGAAGTCTACTAGCAGTAAAATCACCTTCCCCAATAAGTTAATTATGGCATACCGGACCCAATATAATTTGTAGACTATTTGATCACAAGCAAATACAGTACAACGTGCAATGGTAACCGCCTGTCTATGGCGACCATCCAAAAACAGTCCCAAGGTTTTCCCTATACGTAGTGTCCCTATGTATGAACACGTCCATGGCGAACACCTGACCAAGGCGTCCACCTTTTTTCGGTCCCTAGACTGCATATTGCTTGAAAACGCTTGTGTCATAGCTGCTTCGCAAATTTGGTTTGGATTCGCGGTGCACAAACAACGCCTTGTTTCACCGGGGATCAATACGCATAATCACAAACGCTGCGCATCGCACCTCTCCGCTTCCTAATAGCGCACTGAAGATGTCACATCGGGTGGTGCTGGAACGTTCGCAACAAAACTGCCGAGGTCACAGTACATACGGACCACTAATTAAAAAGCACCTTACTTTAATTACAGCTGTACAGATTTGTGGACGCCTTATTTGAACTTCTACCGCCGATCCACTTTGAGACCTGCCTTAGCGAGAAAACCAACAACCAGTTACTGCCCCTCACGGTTAGCAGCTGGAAACGCATGCGGACTACATGGAGGAACAACAAAACGCCCATATAATCCGCATAACTGAGATGAACTTGCACGGGTGACATCCTGCCACCATCCGTGTACCCACATAAATGGGACATCGGTCGTAAAATTTGAAGACACTGGACATAATCGTTACCAAAGCCATCAGAATTGAGAAATTCCTCCGGTATCAAGTAACATCTGACAACCACAACGAGCACTCACCTTGTGTGCCCGAGTTTTTGAGTTGAACAAAGAGCTTAATAAGCAAATTCCAAACACCACTGTTTACTCCACAATATCCATCCTAGGCTAAGTGAGATTATTCGGATTATTACTGGCGATGGTTGACGTGTCACACACACAGCAAAGCCGTGATGAGTATCAGCACTAACAATGTAAGAGTGTGAATTAAAGAAATACGATAGGTGGTTGCCAGTCCATAGGGAATCAACACAAAAATTAGAAGTGTTCCGCCTTTGGCTACTGCTGGACTGTCCTACTACTGTCAGAGTTGACGGTGACATACTGTACAGCGGTTTTACCAAAAATCGCTTTGATGAATTCACATGTCTTACGTAACGCGAAAGATGGAAAACCGTGTTCAGAAACATAGCACAAGTTCATCTTTGTGATAGTCACAGTGTAGAGATAATGTCTGCACCAAACGTCAGTATATACCAGCACCATAAACTATTCTCAGCTTCCCGTAGCAACATCCAAGGTATCTAAACCTTTCGGACACAACTGTGAATGAGCTGGCAGCTAGGAAGTGAGTCCGTGGGCAGTGCAACAGTGATAAAGAGCTGGCTTAAGACATGTCTAGTTCACTCATCTAGAGTTGTAGTTAGGTATATCCAAGGAGAGGTGCTGATAAAATATTCCATAAAAACAAATTTAACATTTTCGGTTGCATAATAGTTCATAGATGGTAGTATTGGATGTGGTTTGCTGGCCGGCCGGCTTGCCTAGATTCCATTGCAAGGTATAATCTACCCTGGGGTCTGCTTCATAAGAGTTCAACAGCTGAGGTTTGGGGTGTTCCCGGTCAGGAGAGCGACTGAGTTTTTTTGTATATGTGAAATCATTTCGATGTGTACAACTTAGAAGGGCCTTTATAAACCTATGTTCAAAATGTTTGAGATCATTCCGACCTTCAGAATTCGTCTGATCCAATAAGAAAACTACGCAGTCAAAGCACGGCTCGCCTACGTAGAACTCATCAAATGGAAAGCTAGGGACAGTTGATAGTCCATGTTACGTTGTCAGATACATGATCAGAATTAATTGTGGGTAGTTTAGATTATTCAACAACTTATAAAGGGCTAGATACTGATTCGCACAATCCCGATACCATTGAAAACGTAGAAGGCGAACAGTTTGTGAAAGCTTGGTATTCACAGATTTGTGACGCTGGTTGGTTACGGTAGCCGATTGTTTCGGCTTTAACGAAACTTAGATTAGTACAGGACCTATGGGAATGGCTAACCAAATGAGAAGATCGTAGCTAAGAAGCCTAAAGAAACAAAGTACTTTCTAGTATTACAAAACCGCCCAGTGTATCCGCTTAGGTAATATTGCCGTCTATTAGGTGAATTGAGCGGTCCTGCTCCAGCAGGCAAACTGTAATGATACTTGCTAAAAAAGCATGCAATTAGGTGCAAACCAACACCTAAAATCCTGACTGGCATTCGGCAGCCAAAGACCACAAAACAGCCTCAGCTTCATCATCCGTGCCTGTACACGTCTGGTGTATAACCACTTTCGATCACGTTGCGCACTGCCTTATTAACTGTAATGCTTGGTTCATCTGCACACATGATGGTGAGGCCATATGGGAAACTACAGTATATGGCTCAATGTCTATTCATGAACTGTTGCAAATATATATATATATATATATATATATATATATATATACGTATATATATATACATATATACATATATATATATATATATATATTCTAATCTTGATTGCAGATCATGGGAATCGAAGGCGGTTGGTCGGCGTGCATGGCGCGATCTGATCACGAAGGCCGTTGCTGAGGTGCAGGGGAAAGCCCTCATGCATGCAGAGAAGAAGCGGCAAGTACGGAAGCGGCAAGCACCGATGGGTTGTTCTCCATCGACATCAAACGCATGGTGCTGTAGAACATGCAGTCGCGAGTGCCTTAGTCAGGCAGGCTTAGTGAGCCATTAGCGAAGCCACTCGGGACCATTACAGAAGCGACGACGGGTCCTGCAGAGAAGCTAGGCAGAACCGGCGCAGCGTTTGTAGGTACGCTGCATTCGATTTACTAACCGCGTGCTTGCATGCTAAGTCTCTTTATGAGGGTATGTGGGTGTTCTCCGAGCTGGCTGATTTGGTTGCAAACGTTTCATCGTCAGACTAGACGACATCATCAGTGCGATTTATGCGGGCCACTTGCAGATCCAAGTGATTATTGATCACTTGATTCGAACGTCAGGAGTCGATTGGTCCACGTGAACTGACCGTGTAGTCAGCTCTCTCGTACTGTTGGCTAGAGTCCGCCTCAATGATGTTCCTTCGTCCAGTTGATCTGGGGCGGACTATTCTTTTGACCCTCAGTGTCTCATAGGCAGTGTCTAGATCTAAGTGCCTGTTGATTGAGTTCTCTCCCGAGTACCAAGCCTCGATGAACTCGCGTGCTTTTCGACTTTTTGCTCTGCCTATGATCCTGACATTCTCCAAATCAAATTGATGATTCTCGGCGTCCATATGTACCGACATCAGAGAGTTCTGATCATGTCGGCGGATGGCTAGGCTATGCTCATGTAGCCTAGTGCCGAGCTTTCTTCCTGTCTGGCCCACATAGTATTTGTTACAATTTTTGCAGTGGATTTTGTAAATCACACCACTTGTTTCTTCTATGCCAAGCCGGTCCTTGCCATTGAAGAGGTTGTCTCTGATGGTTTCCGTCGGCTTGTGAGCAACTCTGATTCCGAAAGGTCGTAGGAGTCTCGCCGCCATCTCAGAGATGCCGTTGATGTATGGTAGAGTAATTGTCCTTTTATCCGTTTCTGATGTTTGTTCTTGTGTCGGTCGTTGTATTGGTGTTAAACAACGTAGAATGAAATTTCTAGGATACCCATTCCGTGCAAACATTTCGAACAGATGATCTTCCTCCGCTTTTCTCAGCTGTGGGGTGCTGCAATGGGTCTGTGCTCTTTTAAATAGAGTTGTTACGCAGCTGCGCTTGTAGACTGTTGGATGATTGCTGCGATAATTCAAGATTTGGTCTGTATGTGTCGTTTTCCGATAAACTGTTGTCTCCAGTTGTCCAGCAGCATGTCTTTTCACTAAAACATCCAAGAATGGTAACTGACAATTGCTCTCTTCTTCTTTAGTGAAACGGATACCAGCAAACGTGTTGTTTATTAGCTGATGTGTTTCTTCTACTTTTGAGCGCTTTAGGATGACAAAAGTATCGTCCACGTAGCGTAGCCAGAGTTTAGGTTTTGCGATCGGGAGTGCGGTTTCTTCCAATGCTTGCATCACCGCTTCGGCCACTAGTCCAGATATCGGTGAACCCATTGGCGTGCCTGTTATTTGTTCGTAGATTTGGCCGTTGTAACTAAAGTGTGTCGTGAGGCATAAATCCAACAACTCCATCATGTGGATGTCATCTATTTTATTGTTCGTGTCTGAGGATCCGCGTTGGTCTAGTAGTCTTGACATCGTTTGCTTCGCCAGATTGGTGTTGATTGAAGTGAACAGAGCTGTTACATCAAAGGAAACCATGATTTCGTCCTCTTCTATTATTGTTTCCCTGAGCTTAGCCAGGAATTGTTCTGCAGATTGTATGGAATGTTCCGAGCCAGAGATCAGGGGCTTCAATCTCTTCGAGAGTTCCTTAGAAAGTTTGTAATTCGGAGCTCCAGGTAACGACACGATAGGGCGGAGGGGGACTCCACTTTTGTAAACTTTTGGCAGGCCGTAGGATCGCGGGAACACCGAATCCTCTGGTTTCATCTTGCTGTGTTCTAATTTTGTAATCTGTCCCATTTGTCCCAGATTTTGTTGGGTGCGTTTAATTTTGCTTTCCAATCGTTTTGTGGGATCTTCTTTGATCGGTTGATAGGTTTTCACACCTTGGAGAAGTTCTTGCGTTTTCTTCGTATAATCCGAGTTGTCCGGGCCCGCATAAATCGCACTGATGATGTCGTCTAGTCTGACGATGAAACGTTTGCAACCAAATCAGCCATCTCGGAGAACACCCGCATACCCTCATCCGCATCCCGAGCTCCAAATGTTCTCACGGATTTCTAAGTCTCTTTATTTCAGGTGGTGGGTTTTCAATTTTGCCTAAATGCTTTTCTTTCTCATATAAATGTCCACCTGTACTCTATTCCATTAACTTGCACACCTCGCTTAAGCCAATTGTATTCGATTTCCATAACATTTATGTGTTCGTGGCATTTCCGTAAAGTATACTTTCTGACCTCGTGAACTTATCTAGGATTCGTTTGTAAGCAACTTATTTCATATGCTCATTAACTTAAGGTTTATGTCACCGTTTCCTTATGCATTAATCGAGTTATTTTCTTTGTATCTCTCTCTCAAGTGATTGGCTGTTGTTTGATATCCCCGGTGTGACTTCGCTTGATGTGCATGTTGACCTGTCTATTACCCGCTGCTTCGTCCATACTGGCTCCAGGAGACAGTTGGTCGTTGCTGGAGGGGACGGGGTGCACGGTCCTTGTGGCCGTGTTAGGATCAAAGAGTGGTTCCATGCACTCAGTGTGAAGCGGACTACGGTCCAGCCACCGCCTTGTGTGCGCTTGATTCCCAAATACAGTGTGCTTGTGTTTGCCTGTGAAGGAGTGTGGGCCGGCTCCGTTGATGAAACGTGGTTCCCATCCGCATGCCTCCCGGTCTTATTTCTTCGGGTTTGCACTAGATATGGGGTGTGTGGTTGGAGCTGTGGGTGGTGCAGCGCAAGCCATCCATGGTCCCTCTGTAGGCGCCGGCGTCCTGTGGCTTGCCACAGTGACAGGCAAATCCGCAACCGGATGCCGCCAACTATATATATATATATATATATATATATATATATATATATATATATATATATATATATATTACTAATAGGAGACAAGAGCAGAGGTATGTAGTGAATTCCTTGGTGGATTTTGCATATGGCTTTTTTGACATCGAGTATGAACTTTATATAAGCCGATCCCCACTCCATAAAATCAAAAAAATATCCAATATTCATCGGCTTATATTCGGTAATACACGGTAATTTTTGTTGCCAATTGGGGCAGCTTGGGTTGTTGGTGACTTATATTCAATCGGTATTCCACATTACTGCAATCTTTTAGTATTTGTCGCTTTGGGGTATAGACACTTTAGATTAGAGCAGAAAGAAGGCACAGATTGCGATATGTTAACATTTCGATTGTTCTCGTCAGTCGCATACACAATACAAGCAGAAACACATACACAATTATATACATGGCAAAAAATTGGCAAACCAATCAAAACGTCCAAATCAAGTCCAAGGCGATCGGATTGATTGCCTCAAGAGTTTCTGCGCACATAGCACTGGTTGATAAACCCCAATTAGCAACGCTTCACTGTTTGCCAACATTATCGGATTCCGGTTACGCAATAGCACTTTGAACACAGTCTTGGGGTCCAAATTGTGACCAGTTGTCACGAGGTGCTTAGTGATAGAGGATGACAGAATCCGGTTCATTCTGGGAAGCGCTCCATTTTGTTGCGATTAAGCTGCCATGCATAGAGATTTCGACACGGCCTATACGTCGTCATCTGAGAATCGGCACAAGTTTAACTTGGTGAAATTCAAAGTCTTGAGCATGCGCCATCAGCGAACCTATGAATATCCACTTGAGGACCAGCAGCTGCAACACACTTCCCAGGAAACCGATCTCGGAGTAACTGTACAGCATGACCTTGGCTGTTCGAAAAAGGTCAAAAAGGCATCGAGAAAAAGCAGTCAGGACCCTGGTTTCCTAAGGAAGGCTTTCGGAAAGTTCGAACCATCTGCCTTTCCTCAGACGTTGAACGCCTACGCAAGGCTCAATGTTGGATACGCATTTCAAGTCTGGTGTCCCTGGAGCAAACATGATGTTGGCGCACTTGTAGCTTCACAACGTAGAGATATCAAATTCGTTGTGGGATTGTTTCACCTACCGTACCAACACAGACTGCAAGCTCTTAGTTTATACAGAGGTGAATAGCGGCGTCAGCGAGATCACTTCACCATGGTTTAACTAGCACCGACAAACCCAAATCACGCCTGTCATGACCTGCCCAAACTCAGCGACAGTATTAACCTGAGAGACCAAGAGCTCACAATTGCTACGTACTGCAGTCGACTTGATTGCCGACAAACGCTTTTCTCTTTTCAGATGTCTCAAACATGGAAAGCCATTCCAACTCACCTCATCTCTAACCGTAGAGCCATGTTTTCAAAAGACGCCATTCGCACTACGTTGTATAGTCTGTTTCACTCAGAGGACTAAATATTGCGAACCAAACTGTGTGTTCACCAGCATTATTCGCAACGTAGCGGTGATGAAATCTACATCAGTGTTTATGTGAATAGGTTGGTGTCATTTAAAACCCGACTTTCTGCCTTTTAGATGTTATTTATACCTTTGGTTTTGTAATCCTTACTCCGGTCATCCCACGGGAATTGCCGCACAATCGCTTTTCATCCGTCATAAATCATTGTTGGTTGTAATTACGACTTATCAGAACTGGAAACTCTAAAGCATGACCAACACACCGTTTTTCAAAACGGATGTCGCATGAAACTTATCTTACCTGGGCTTTCAGTTGTTCACGAATCGATTGCACCAGTAGTCGTCGATCCAAACGAGGTGGGGGCAGCGCCTCTTGTTCTGGATTTCCCTGGTCTGCAATGAGGGCAATTACAATTTACGGTAAATTCTGTACTCAGGCCAACTAAACTGAGAGGTATCGAAAATGAAGTCACTCTATGGGTTCCTAACAGAACGACAACCGTAATCTTGTTGGTTTCCGGAAACAATGACGACGAGAAGGAGTCCATAGAATGGTGTCGATAGTTAGCGATTTAGCAGTCAGTTAACTGCACATAGCCCACAACGATTGCTAAGCTTACATAGAGTTACACCGTGCTCACGCATCATTTTTGGTATGAATATCGGAGGTGCGCCTAACCAGGCTTGGAAGTTGATAAGGTCGCCTCAGGAGCTCTGCCTTAAACCAAGTCTAGATGTGAGGAATTTCTACCTAAAGCATTCAACTCACCCTACTAGTCCCTTGTTAAACTATTCTGTGGTACGATCAAGGTTCCATTGCTCAAAATGACAATGGTTGAGTCCGTTTGATACCGCAGACGGCGACCATACTCATGGGCTTTAAGGCCCCTAGGGTCCTTAGCGTAATAGCACTGACAACAACACTAATAATACACAAGGACAAATGAGAGTGAAAAGAAAAGGACCCTGAAGAAGATATGCACAAACTTAGAGGGTAAGTGAGAAAGCAACGAGAGATTTTATCGACGGAAACGGCTAACATGTGGAGACAGTAGACCTAGCTGAGGCATGTGTGCTCTCTCGACTGTGAACATCGCATAAGGGCTTTAGCAATTGACGTGCACAATCCTATAGGAACATCCAGGAGAACGGCGTGTACAAACGAGATGAATACTCGGTCAGCTTCTGCAAAGAATCTTATAATGTCGTCGATCAACCACGGGGAACTTCCATCCAAAATTACCGGTGTGAAAGCTACGCACCGAGATAAAGTATCTGGTGAATTCGAAGAGTTAACAATTGTGCAACCGTGGTAGATTTGATCACCGCGACCCCTGGGACGGCGGCTATCACGCGGGAGGGGTGTCAGCAAACTGCAGTGTAGCGTCGTAAACGACTGCTGGATCAAATGGCTTCCAACCGGAAGGCCTTTGTATTGTCCACCTGAAAGTTTCGAACTAATTCAGTAGAGACGGTACAAGTGGTATAAATAACCCCGCGCAGTGCCGAACAATAACTACACTCATTTTTAGTCAATTATGTCCACAGGAGAATCAAATTTCTCCATAAACATAGCGTGCTCTGCCTTTGATTACCCAAAAAGGTTTCTTACCACAGTCAACTTGCACTCAGTGTGCACGCAGCCCTAAATGCGTGCTGTAATTTGAGCGCCTTATTCTAAAGCAGCAAATAGTGTATCGGAAGAGCACATATCATGATGAGGCAACTGACTCTTAGATCAACATATGGCATTATGAGGCGCGGTTATAATGTCTTTGAGTCTCGACTTTTCATACATCCCATCCTTTTGTGTTGTAGCCCAGAACTGATGGGTCTCTCACACTTACCTAACGTGTTATGATGCTACTACTACTACAACTACAACAACAACTACTACTACTATTACTACTACTACTACTACTACTACTACTGCTACTACTACTACTACTACTACTACTACTGCTACTACTACTACTACTACTACTACTACTACTACTACTACTACTACTGAGGCTGATGATGCCAATGACGATGACGACAAGGATGATGCTGACGATGATGATGAATACTGACAAATTGCAGCGAGTAAAGGTGTTTCTGTGTAGCTACGTCTAACACCTAAGCAAACCTACCTATTAACATGGTGATTATTCTCGTAATCTCAAGTGGGCAAAGCGCACCTTCAGAAGTTTCTTAAACTCCGGCATCGACCTTGCTTCGACTATATTTTCAGACAGATTGTTCCAAATATTCACCATCCGCCGCTCGCAGCAGCGTTGGTGAGCAACCCGCTTCAAATCCGGTACGATAAGCTTGTACCGGATTCCTCGTATGCTGCTTGGTGTGCGCAGAAGAAACAGCCGCCTCAACCTGGGGTAATCACCCAGGTGTACTATCCAGTGCGTCATGATGAGGTCAACCCGCATTCGACGCTAAGACAAAGTGTAAGACCTTAATCTTCGTATGGCTCACATAGTCAACCGGGAATAAGCCTTCTGGCCACATGCTGTACCCACTCAATACATTGCACCTCGCCCCTTGGGAGCGGACCATAAACTGGTGAGCTGTACTCAGTGGTGACGAGGATGAGGATGATGCTGATCATGATTAAGATGATGATGGTGATGCTGAGGATGATGCTGAGGATGCTGCTGCTGCTGCTGCTGCTGATGATGATGATGATGATGATGATGAAGATGATGATGGTGGTGATGATGATGATGAGGTTGATGACGATGATGATGATGATGATGAGGTTGATGATGATGATGATGAGGAGGAGGAGGACGAGGATGGTGATGAAGATGATGGTGACGATGATGATGATGATGATAATGATGGCGTGTGGCTAGCCCTCTTCTATGCTGGAAGTCAGTAACGACAGGCTACCATGAAGCGAGTTCTACGTAAACTGGGAGACATGCTCGTCTAACTCACGTGGTACGTCCTGTGCCAGCGGCAGCTAGGTGTAATCGTGAGAAGGTGCTGTGCGCAGCCTTGCAGGCACTTACCCATCCATGTCAGCTGAGTCACAAGTGCGCTATCACTGAGCAAGATGTTGGGAAGCTGTCCATCTACCCAGAGGCGTAGCATGGGCGAGGGGCGAGGTGGCGCGGTCCGCCCCGGACAGCATGTGGCAGGGGAGGCACTTTTAGCACTGTTGTTTGTTAGATACCAAATATAAAGGACAAACTTTCCAGGTAAGCTGAGGTGTGAAGCTTTTTGTTTTACTCTGTATGACCAACAAAGCCTTTGCGTTATGTGTCGCACTTGGGCAAACGTACTTCACAGCGATCCCTTTACTTCGCAGATTATGATCACTATCACCACATTTACCTCAGTGTTCCAAACGATTATCCATTTCAACGAAAGTCCAAGTGCACTTTACCCTGACCCGATTTTGTGGGTTTACGGATTTACAAATGTCAGGGGTCCGCCAAAATTGCACCACCTCCACGGGTGGCAAATGTAATTGCCCGGCCACTGCATCTTCTGTTAGGCTTTCACATGCCGGAGTCCGAGTGACCTAATCGGTCGGGAGAATGACTTTCACTTCCACGTGCTGTCGGCGTGCTCGTACAAGATGAGTTAAGTTGGTGTGGAAGAGCGAAAGGCTGCAAAGAAAGTCAATCAACACTTTGGCCCTCTTCACAGGACGATCGGAAAGTTCTACTCCCCAAACTTTCCGCAAATCCTTGGCGCGCCCTTTAGTCAACACGTGGAACACACCATCCAAGCATGACAACCATGGCTGCAACACCACCTCGCACCCCCACAACGCAAGGTGTCAAAGAACGTCAAAGGTTTGTACCACCTTCCCTAACCCCCCAATTTGAACAATGCAAAAGTGTACAGTGGACGTAGTAGGCGTCTAAGAACGAGTTCATAATAATGTATCGAATCCAAAAAGCGCCAACCACAGTTGTCATCAGCTGAAACTCAGCCAAAACACATCTCGGATGGACCACCAGTTCAAGCGAACCCCGAAGTATAGCCGAGTGGAATGTTGACGAAAGTGTATCACTCCGAGTGTCACAGCCCTGGAACTCCCTCATCACGCATGTAAGTAATGGTCCCATCTTATTACAATTCAAAGGCGACTCAATAACCTATTGACACATTACACTAAGTGATGTGCCACGCGATCATCGAACAACGGACTTAGTGAAGAAATACGAGTGGACGGTTGATTGTCCGGTTTCGGATGCCGCCAGGAATATCGCCATCTGTGTCAATGTAAGTATTTTGGTGAGTGATCTATCTCACGCGTTCCTTCATCAACATCCTGTATCCAAATTGTAACCATCCCCTAAGCATTTTATGGCAATTGTCAGGAATTTGCTTTTTACAGCTTACAAACCATCTCTCAACTGCAAACTATTCGAGGATCGGTTAGTGGTGCCAGAGGCCCGTGAGGGTGTGAATCGTGGCACGTTTTGGGATGTTGTATGCTCACTGAGCTCAATGTTAGGAGGTCTGAGCATGATAGATGTGGCGATTCGATACAGATTGTGAGTGTGCGCGTCTGCACATTGGCAACTTCGCCTTGGTTGGGTGACATGCTAGCTCGCGACACATGAGAGGGCGCCCAAGGTTGCAGTTGCCTACTGCTCTTATCACACCTTTGTTCGGCTGACTTTGCTTCTGGGGAGTGGTTTTGTGGTTGCATTATGGTTACCATTGCGTTTGCTAGAGGGCCACGCCATCTTGATAGTACTGGAGTTTCTGGTCTCTGCGAATTATTTATCAGGCCCATAGAATATACCGCCGATAGCCATGCAACGAAACATGAAGCGAAGTCAAACGCGGTGCATCCATATCTCTGTCCTCTTGCTACCCCTTAAAACAGCACACCTATCGTAAACATGTCTCGTATGAGGAGCAAATGCGAAGCATGTGCGAAAGTGGTAAAAAATGGTTTGGTGTGTACCATGTGTTTGAAATCCTACCACACTACCTACCTTGGGATGGGATAGACAAAAACAAACACCGCAGAGGCGTTTTGGTTCTGCCAAGTATGCAATTCTATCCCATTGGTTATCTGTCTAGTTGTGCTACTGAAGAGGTGCGAAAGACTAACAAAAGCGGTCGAGCAACTGGTAAGCTCCAGAGTTACATCCATGGGAGGAAAGGAACCTGCACTTGTGAGTGATAATAACACCCCAAATTCCCTAGTCAGGCCGAAGAAGCGAGCCAGGCGTCCCAACCTAACCCCAACGAGTCAGTCTCCAGCAGTATCAACTCCAGTCTCTCTCCCTCCTATAAGTAACAACATTGCCTGCAGCCCGCCTGACTCAACTGCTGTACTGTGGGCTGCACCTAGTAGTCTGTTCGCTACACACCAGACCGTAAGCTACAGTCAACCAGCAATAGTGAACAACCTGGCAACGTAC